TCCTTAAATGGAAATGGAAGAGAAAAAAAAAAAGAAACGTTGTTTCAAAGCTGACCTCCGAAGAACAGAAAGAAGAATTCCAGTTATCTCCTTTTCGCCCTTTCCGGCACGGCAATTTAAAAATTCGGCCTTTAATTTAGATAATCTAATTAAAATTTCTAATAAATCGTCAACCTTTGAGTCAACTATCCAAGAGATACTGCTGCGCATTTCATTATTCGATGCCCAATCAGTAGGACCACCGGAGAAGTGCACAAAACAGCTACAAACATCATCCGATAAGCTCAAATGCGGGTCTAATACCCACCGATTACTTCATTCGTTCATTAAATCTCCATTTATTTTTTCCTCGTTTTTAATTTTGCTTGTATTCTATGACAGAAACCTTTATAGAGATGATATGATGTTACATTTTCATCTGTTTCGATTCCTACAAGTTGAATTGATACATATAACCTGTCTTTTCATGTGCTTCTTTTTCTAGTTATTTTTTGTATAAATCTGTCCCAAATTCTTTCATGAATAAATAAAAACTCCGGTTAGTTTCTTCTCCAGCTTTAAATCTTTATTAATTTAGTTTGTTGAATAAAATGGTATTATATCAATTTTGCGACAGTTTATTTAGTTATTTATTAGAGGCGACTTTAACTGTCTTGTTTATATTTTGGTATTTTTTACAAGGAGATTTTGTGCAATATATATGTATATGTATATATATATATATATATATATATATATATATATATATATATATATATATATATATATTTATATTTATATATATATATATATATATATATATATATATATATATATATATATATATATATTGTTGCTATTTCCTTTCAATTAAACCTTTATAGTCTTGTCTAATTATTGAATTAGTCTCAGATCTACCTTTTTAATAAAATAAGTTGCATCTTTTGTCAGTTTTCACATTCAAATGTAATTTAGTTTTGTTGTAATACGTGATTTACGCATCTAATCGCGTACAATGCCATTGCTCTTTTATTATAGTGACACAATCGTAACCTGGAAGGTAACGAGCGTTTCAACGTTCCAAATGATTAGTAAACTTGATTCGACAACACGTATAAGAGACAATTGGCTCAGTTTATATAAGTTCATATAGCGTAAATTATTTACATAACCCTACTACAATGTATAGCATGGGATGTTAGGACTACCTAGTTAGAAATTCGTCGCTGAGACTTTATTTTATCCGGGCTCCAACCTATTAAAGAATGCGTCATACAATTTCATTATACAATCATAAGCATTGGCAATCAATAATATTTGTACATTTGACATTTTGTCAATCGCGATGACATACTTTTTCGTATCAAATAGACCACTACTCTCAATATATCCACTCAATATTATCTCCTTACATTATTCTAATTTATATAATACAGTGTTTTCTAAAATTATTTATCGGAATATAAACATCGTTTTTGTAAAATTAGGAAGATAGCCAAAATTAGACTAATCTATTGAGATCATTAACTCAGCTATTTTATATCTATGCTTTTAATAGGTACCTATTGTGAGACAGACAGAAAGCTATTCCAACGTTTATATCTGTATTCTGCCTTGTTCGCTGCAATCGGCAACCTGTCTAACATCTCTTGTATGATTTATTATATCTTCTCAGTAAGGGTTTGTAAAATATGCGATATTAAGAGCTCGATTAAACATTTCAACTACAGGCGCATATTTGTCTGAGTGAAACGAAAAATACATATGTTCTGTTTATCCAGTAATTCCTTAACCTTTAAGTTATAAGATCCTTTCATAAAAATTTATTTCTTTTGGTTTTCTCTCTTCAAGCATTTTTATGAAAGTATATAGCAATTCATCTGCCTTTTTTTACTTTCTTAGCTCAAACATGTTATTACAAGACATATATCAGTGTAAAATATAGTTGTAACCACGATAAACAATCGATATAGTTCTAAATCAACGAAGTCTGTCTGGTGTTGATTATTTTTGTGATTAACATAAACCCTTTTATATGGAAATTTTTGATCTCATTATATGGTGTATAAATTATATCATGCAATATCATGCAATCTTTAAGTTCCGATTATTTTATTTGTATTAAAGAGTGTTTCTTATCGGAATTAATTTTCCTTTACAAATGATTCTTATTTGCAAAAACAACTAGAATTTAAGCGATATATATATATATATATATATATATATATATATATATATATATATATATACATATATATATATATATATATATATATATATATATATATATATATATATATATATATATATATACATATATTCTTTTTTAAGGTGTTGGTATAAATCAAATTGATATACAGATACTAACTATTGGTAGATCAAATTGTAATCCGCCCATGGCACAATAATACGAATATATAAACATTCTTTCAACTGCAGGCCTATAGATCAGCAATGAATCTTCAATCATTAATCATTCACAACGTAAGATATAAAAGGATAATATGTATTAATAGTCCCCGTTTTCTAAATGAATATAACATGATACACAATTTCATCGCAATCATTTCTTTTTTCTCTTTCCGTACCTCACTACTCTATCATGCATAAGGGGCAACATACGCAGAGAGAAAGAGAGAGAGAGAGAGAGAGAGAGAGAGAGAGAGAGAGAGAGAGAGAGAGAGAGAGAGAGAGAGAGAGAGAGAGAGAGAGAGAGAGAGAGAGAGAGAGAGAGAGAGAGAGATGAAAACCTTAAAACTAAACTTGCACAAAGTAACCAACAAGAATATGGTTAGTCTTAACGGTTTGTTTGCACTTTCCTTGGGATCTATCTACTATGTTTATAATATCAATGATAAATGGTTTGAATAGCTTGTCGACACTATAAATTAAATTTGTCGCTTGCGAGAGACACATACTGTAAAATATTTAATGCTTTAATTATTGTCGTTGTTGCTGTTGTTTCCTAAACCTATTATATTCTAAAATTCGACTATTATTAAATAAATACGAAAATGTCCAAACAGATCCCCCGTGTCTCTCTCTCTCTCTCTCTCTCTCTCTCTCTCTCTCTCTCTCTCTCTCTCTCTCTCTCTCTCTCTCTCTCTCTCTCTCTCTCTCTCTCTCTCTCTCTCTCACTTGACCATCCTATCCACTCAAAAAATGGTGAAAATCCATGAAAATACGGGTTGTGGAGATTTTCCATTGTGTCACATGACGATATCTCTGAACATATGAATGGTAGTAAAGTTAAGTCAAACCGTCCAAGAGAGAGAGAGAGAGAGAGAGAGAGAGAGAGAGAGAGAGAGAGAGAGAGAGAGAGAGAGAGAGAGAGAGAGAGAGAGAGAGAGAGAGAGAGAGAGAGAGAGAGAGAGTCACTTGGTCAGTAGTTATGTTAATTAAAGCAGAATAATGACTTAGATCAACTGTAAATGTATTAAAAGATTATATTTGTTTCTGTTGGATTGACATTTCCCTGAGTTTCTTTTCCACGCTAATTTCCATATGTCAATAGCTAATAGCGAAGAGTTCACTGTGTACGGGAAGCTAACGTGTTTGCAGATTGCTATTTCTTAAGCATCATATTTCATTTTTAAGTCATTAATGTGTCTTATACTTATTTAATCAAAGCGAATAAAAATACAAACGTAAAAAGAAAACAACCAACTTATCACTTTGCATATATGGTTGCAAACAACAAGAAAAAGCATAGAACAACATTTTGCAGCGGACACACTCGCACGGATGTGAGGAATTCATGCACTCGATCATTTTCCAAGACCGTATCTTAACTTCACAAAAAGGGCAAATATATGTATTTCTATATGACACAAATCAAATAGATGTATAGTATATACACTATATCAATGATATACCACTGGTTGTATAAAGTTTTCATTAAAGGAAATCTTAACAAGCCTTTAAATGAAAAATGTATACATTATATATATATATATATATATATATATATATATATATATATATATATATATATATATATATATATATATATATATATATATATATATATATATATATATATATTCTCTGTCTTGCTCATTATCCCGCTTATATATACGCCGATACAGAATGTTTCATGGGCCAATGGTCATATCTTGTTCATGAGAGCGATTCAGGTGAACTTATTGCTGAAACGGATATGCTTTGCTTAATATTTTATAGGTATAATTTGATTGAATAGACTGCTGAGTATGTTTTTTCGAGGTAATAATTTACACCAGATATTTAATACCTTGACATTTTATATAGAGAACTGATATATTTATAAAGTTTAGTAACGCCTAGCTATAACTTTTAGCTTGACCTAAAACCAATCCGTTCTGCTTTACTGACTATTTGGGTTGTTTTTCCCGGTGTATGAAGAATACAAATCGTTTGGCGAACAACAACCCTTTCAAGCGCACTGGATCAACCAAGGGATCACGTGTGTCAGGGATTGATTAAAATAGATGCAATAAACTGACGACGAACAGTGCGAAACTAGTAACTAACTAGCCTGAGCGCTTTCGACTCTTAATGAGTCTTTCTCAAAGGCAAATACAAAACATATATAAGACAAACAAATAAACACAAAAACGATGTTTGTAAACCTCTACATGGCTATCTCCACATGTGTTAAAACTATAAATACAACCAGGATGTATCCGCAACAAGTTTATACAAAGAGAAAATACCTGTAAATGTCATATCGAATAAAGCCTAATTGTAAAACTAAGTAATGGAAGACAATACATTTAAAGATTAGCGGTTATTCAGTTATCTGCGTGTGTGATTTAGATTTTTAACGTAGCTTTAACATTTTTTTCAGTCATATCGCTACGATATCTGCAGTGTGACAGTTTACAGTGATGTCTATCACTGGGGCATCATGACGCAAGAATATGTAGCGTGATGTCCCACCCTGTTACATTATCCTGACAACAGGACACCCAGCCCTAACACTAACCTCTTAATGCTGAGCGCTAAGAGAGGCAGCTGTTATTACAAATTTTTTAAGTCTTTGTTACGAATCGGCCATGATTCGAACCCACGATCTCCGGCATCCCAGGCGGACACCCTAACCACTAGGCCACCGGAGAGATGTTAATCATTTAGGTTCGAAGAAAGATAGAATATGACGAGAGTGAGTTCAACATTAAACCGGAATTAAATGTGACAATATACAGTGGATAATGTGAAGATTATGCATGTTTATGCATAGCCAAAACAACCTCACCATCCTTTGCCAAGAGCATGAGTAATAAGTCGGGCATTTTGGTAGTGACTTCCGTCAATCACAACAATTGTTCGAAGAGTTTGATAAAACCACCATTGCTGTTTAGACAACAAAACCAGCCAAGGCAAATGGCTTCTACTTTGGTAGATATATTGCGCTACTTGCCTTACCCCAAACATTGATTATAGTACAATTGCGCTGAATCTCTGTTTTCCAATTGCATCCAATAAAACACCTGTCGAGCACTTTGACCAATATTTTTTTTTTCAAATTGGCTGAGATCTACAGCTAATGCGGAAAAGCCCTAATTGATGTAAATGCCCATGGAGTGCCATGGCGACATTGTGTGAGATCTACAGCTAATACGGAAAAGCCTTAATTGATGCAAAATGCCCATGGAGTGCCATGGTGACATTGTGGCTGCAAGAGATATTCAAGTAAACATCTCACCTATCCTAGCGATAGCACATTTAGTTTGCAGTTATGTGAATCATGTGTTCATTCAAAGTCAAACCAATAAGCCTAAAACTAACAGTCCATTTGTAATTAGGCAAAATGAATGCATCGACAGTTGTCGAAAAGCAGTTGGCTAGATTCCTCTGTTTCTAAAATCCAGATACTGTTCTTTCTTTGAACGTAATAAAATAAATAAATAAATACATAAATGAAAGTAATTAATTGCTGATAAAGGCCACACATCCATAACAGAATGACTTTTGAGGTTGCTATGCCGTTCTGTTCGTAGTTTCATCTTGCGTTCACGGAATAGAGAGTTGTTTTCCTAAAAGAAAAAACAGTTTAACAATTCGAGTATGAATGGTTGTATATTTTAACAAGTCGCGTACGAATGGTTGTATATTTTAACAAGTCGCGTACGAATGGTTGTACAGTGTAACAATTCGAGTATGAATGGCTGTACAGTGTAACAATTCGAGTATGAATGGTTGTACAGTGTAACAATTCGAGTATGAATGGCTGTACAGAGTAACAATTCGAGTATGAATGGCTGTACAGTGTAACAATTCGAGTATGAATGGCTGTACAGTGTAACAATTCGAGTATGAATGGTTGTACAGTGTAACAATTCGAGTATGAGTGGCTGTACTGTTTAACAATTCGAGCATGAATGGTTGTATAAGAGTACTTCTGTTATAATTGTAATAGACAGCTTGAAACATCCCAGATTCCAGATTGTATCAAAAGTTAGAAACCGGATAGACTGAGAGGGGCTGCATATGTCAAGCTGAGTGACAATTACGCATGATTTCTATTTTATTACCCCTTCTCTATTGAAAAGCAGTTATCTTGTCAAATAAATTGATACGGAATATTGGAGTAGTTGATCTTCCAATCTGATTAATTTTTTTCCCTGAAAAATGTCATATCAACTTTTGCCAGTAATTAGTAATCTTTAAATATTATTTTAATAAATTGTCTGCAAGATCAAAATTTGATGGAATGCATTAAAATGGACGTTTCATCATTAACTGATAAAGTATCAGTTAATTTCCTTTTTGTAAATAATGATCCAGATGTTGTTCAACAGCAGTATTTGCTGCATTATCGACATATTTTCTTGCAAATGTATGAATATTCGCATTAACAGCTACTGTTGGCACATGCAACTCAAAGGTGCATTAAGGTTGTAAATATATTGTTGTATCGGGAGTATAGAATCACGGAAAAAACTGCCGTCCATGAGGTAACTTGATACTGTATGTTCACTCTAAAATACGTCCCAATGCACACAACTTTAAATTTTGCTCTAGCTTTTGCCTGAATCATAAGTTACACTTAACGTGCTATTTTTATTAAAAATGTAGTGAAAACATGGCAGTCGAGAATTAGATGAAGATGTAGAAGACAATAAAGATGAAAGCGAATAGAAGGTATAATTGTCATATTAGATAATGTACATGATTTCTAAAGTTGATTAGGTTGCCGGCTACAATTCACTGTAAGCATTAGTCAGGCACTCGTTATATTTATTGTTATTTCCAATTGATTTTCATGCAAGATTTCGTTCCTTGAATACGTTGTTTGTAATTAAATATTTGGTTGAAATTACAGATCTCTAAGGAGGTAGCCTGGACAATGTCAGAACAGTAAAGCAGACAGAAAGGGTTTCTAAACAGCAATTATGTGTCAGGGATTGTCGAAGCTTAACTTTAGTCTTCTCTTATTGCTTTTAAATAAAGAAAAAAATATCTTAACTTTCAGGCAGTTCTACTAAAGATGAATGTGAAATATGTATTTTCTATTTGTTTTTATACCATATTATGCATTCAGACTGAGGATTTGCAAGGAAACGATGCAAACGATGCTGTATTTCATGCCGTTAAAGATTAAAATGGACAGGGAATTAAAAATTGATTGTTTCTTTATTCTTGATTTAATATTGTGCTATGAAATTAAGTATTTATTTGTTTTTTATTGATGGTAAATCTGCTCAACTGGCGGCATTCCTGTTGTTGCATAACGGATGATGTTGCATAAGGTCAAACTTATTTTGAACAGATGAAATAATGGCAGATTTAAATAACAATATTCAAATCATAAAGACCTCAAAGACCTTACAATAGCAGTTGAATTAACACCAATAAAACCTTTTTGTTTTAAGCTCGAAGAGTATTGTATTTGTTCCTGTTCAGGTGATAGAAGTCGAAATACCAATAAGGTAAAATTATTTTTTAGTATCAAGAAATACGTTCACCTTAAACCGTGTGAATGTCCAGAGACAAAATGCTATTTTAGAAGAAAAAAATTACTTTAATAATGTTTGCCTGACTTCATTTTGGTAGGGAGAAATTTACAGTTACCTATGAATGAGGCTGGAATGTATGTACATGAGATTAACTTACATTCATTTGAAAAAAAAAATATGGTAAAGCTATAGTAACTACGGTAGCATTTAACCAAGGTAGATTATACGCGACAAGGACGGAATAAGTGAAGAAGGAGGATAAAGGAAAGGAATAAGTTAGAATTGATTAATACAGATTTTCAAACATTGTTAGAATGTTAAAATTGATTAATACAGAGTGGCAGACATTATTAGAATGATAAAATTGATTAATACAAAGTGTCAGATATTATTTGAATGTTAAAATTGATTAAAACAGTGCCAGACATTATTAGAAAGTTGAGATAATCGAGGGAAAATCAAAGGAATAAATAAATAAATAAATAAATAAATAAATAAATAAATAAATAAATAAATAAATAAATAAATAAAAAGGAGCAAAAACAATGAGAATGAAACTGAATCGTACATAATTCTAGAACTAGTTGTTGCGGAAACGATGACGAATCATTTGAAAATATTGAGGAAAAATTGCTTGTTACAGGTATTCACTCCTCTTGTAATTGCATTCGTGTCAGCAATAACTGTAACTTCAAAAGCATGCGAATTTTACGTGGCGATGAAAAATCTTTATTATATTTGGTTTTCTGTTCTAAAATGTATGCAAGTAATTCGTAGGCGTGGTGTTTAATGGGACCTAGGAAAACATTTACGAAAGTGCATATGATACCACTATTGGAGTAAAGCTTTATTAAAGTACATAAATGTTGTTTGACCAGGATGGAACTTAAAGGTTATCCGTCAGTAATAGAAAGAACAGATATCACAAATTTACTTCAACAAACCTAAAGTAACGTAAGATATACGGTATGTGCATTTACATCTCCGTATATCTTCTTACTAGATTTTAGTAATTATTTATTTATGGAGAATCGGTGTTGGGAATATATTAGGTACAGGCGCCATTCAAATACATCATATTTACAGAACTTTGTGATAGGATGGATTAATTTCGTAAAATAGTACCTGTTTGCTTTTTATAATATTTCTTGCGATGTTGTATAAATGTTAAGAAATAATAGATTTAGTTCTGTGTTTACAGAGTAATAAGAGGTGTGTGTGTGTGTGTGTTACGTATATGTGATTAAATTACCTGTGTAAGGTTTAAAATTCTTTTTATTTATTTATTTTTATTATATTTAATTACAATGAATATTTTTCTCAGATTTGAGATTCTATTTTTAGTAGTAAGACATATTTTTAGCACAAAGTTTGTTTATTCAAGTCGAAGATGTAATACGTGAGAGTTGGTATTTAGTTTGTCTTACCTTGGTAACAAATCAACAAGAAATTAAAATGATTGGTCAGCATCACGGATATACTTTCTCCGCGTGATCAATGTTTGTAAACAACATTTTTATGATTGTTTTTTTAGTGGAGTGACATTGGTCTACGTGTGAGATTTAGCGTAATAAGAGACCACATGACCAGTCTCGCGAGATTTGAAGTGATGTTTAGAGTGTAAATACGCATTCTTAATATTGGTTTGGCCAGAGTCATTCAAACCCTTGAAGGTATAAGGTTTATGATTTAATTTTAATTTGTTGCCAAGATAGATTGTTTGTCAGTCGGCTAATTTTGGATTTAATAATTTATTTTCCTGGACACTCAACAAATTGACTTTCTTATAAACAAATTCTGAAAGATATTCATGGAGATTTATTCTGGAATTATTCGGAAACAAAGACCGTGACTCAAGTGAGGAATTATTATTTTTCATATATTTTGACTATGTCTGATGTCATCATCCGCCATATTCCTACGTCGTCGAGACTCGAACACGGATTCTTATAGGACAATTTAGTGGTAGAACTTGTGTTTTATTCATAGAATCATGTTTGGATTATATTCACAGATTTTAAGTCCTTTTTACAAATTTTTACATTGTTGTCTAGGGAAATACATTGTATTGTTAAAATATGCAAAGCTTGCTGGCTTTCACTCTTTTCTTTGTTACTAAGTACGAGCCCTTATCACGTAACAATGTGTGTGTGTATGTG